TGTCATCACAGTCTTCAGCCTTTTTGGAGATCTTTGAGAATGTTCTTTAATATCCAGGACATTCTTGGCCGGTGACTAGGGTATGCTGACGATGATGTCCGCCTTTCGAGAGGTTCCCTTCTTCTTCACCACACTAAGTTCTAAGCCAGTCAAGTCGGAATTGGACTCGAAAGGCCCTCCAGCTCCTTTTCGGGAAGCACGGGTAACAACCATCAACTTCTTTTATTCTTTGACAAAAAGGTCAGTCATTTTATCTTCAAAAAAATCAAAAGGGAACATGTGAGGAAGGAATAAAAGATGCATAGGCGACGGCGAAATAAAAGGAGTCTTACCCAAAAAAAATTAGAACCTCCTTGCAAGGAAAAGGTAACAGATCCTTGACCTTGAATAAAAGGAAAGAGTCTAGCACTTGCAGAGATTGGGTCTCGGTTTCACATAATTTGTCATAATTAAACCCATATATGGGTAAGGGGTTCCCATTACAGTATAAAGGAAACTTAGGATGACCATCAGTGTCATAGATGACTTGAGGGAACCTCGGTCCACACTTAACTCAAAGGAACCGGTCTTTGAAGCCCTTGTAATTAGTGGTATAGGCTTGAATTTTTGTTACAAAAACTGTATCACAACAGGTTTAAGATGTATGAGCAGTGGTAGTTAAAAATCGTGAACGATTTATCCTTTAAGCTTGTTTATATAGGCGTGGAAATCTTGTCCAACATAAAGCGTGATAATGGACACTCAATGCTATTTCCATATTGAGAAGATTCTTGTCTGAATGAAGTCGTTGCATATGATACTGTCTTAATTGAAAAGTAACGCTTCAGAACTAGAATCTTGCATGTCGCTCTTACTTCAAAACATTGATGACTCAGAGATATGAGGATCTGATGGTATATTAGACTTCTTTTCAGAATCAGAGTATCCTTTACTTTAGCACAGATTCTGATCATCATTCTTCAGAACATTCTGATTGTCTCAGCTTGAAAGCTTTTGTAGCTTAACTTCTGATGTTGTTTCAGTCAGAACTTCTGCATACAAAATACCAAAAATTTAGAGTGCATATTTGTTCTTTGTGTTTGTTATCATCAAAACTCTAATTCAGGGTTGTATAATCAAACTATGTTCTAACACTTTGACTCTGAGATCAATGGCTTCCTCGACACCCATGATACAAGCCTCATACTCCGCCATATTATTGGTGAAATCAAATGTCATTCTTGCAGTAAAAGGAATGTGTGATCCATGTGTAGTTATAATCAGAACACCGATTCCTTTTCCATAAGCATTCACAACTCCATAAAATACCATACCCCGACGGGATTCAGGATCAGGTGCTTCCCCAGGAAAAGGTTCATCACAATCTTTTGCTTTCAAGAACATCACATCCTCATCATGGAAATCAAACTTGATAGATTGATAGTCATCTACCGATTAGTGATCAAGATAATCCTCCAACACACTGCTTTTTATAGCCTTCTGAGTACGGTATTCAATATCATATTCAGACAACAACATCTGCCAACGGGTAATTCTTCCACTAAGAGCAGGATTTTCCAAAATATACTTAATTGGATCCATTTTGAAAATCAACCAAGTAGTATGATTCAACATATATTGCCGAAACCGCTTTTCCTCCAAGGCCAGAGCACAACATGTCTTTTCCAGAATAGAATACCGCGACTCACAGTCATTAAATATTTCACTAAGATAGTAGATGGCATATTCTTTCTTCCATGTTTCATCTTGTTGTCCCAAAATACAGCCCATCGAATTATCTAACACTGTTAGATACATGATCAATGGTCTTCCTTCAACGGGAGGAAGCAAGATAGGAGGTTTAAGCAAATACTCTTTAATACTTTCAAATGCTCTTTGGCAATCATCTGTCCACACACAACCCTAATATTTCTTTAAAAACTTAAAGATCGGTTCACATGTTGTAGTCATGTGGGAAATGAATCTGGAAATCTAATTCAACCGCCCCGGGAAGCCTCTAACTTGCTTTTGAGTTCTTGGGTCATACATTTATTGAATTTCTTTGACTTTATCAGGGTCAACTTCAATTCCTTTTTGGATGACAATGAAACTTAGCAATTTCCCTGATCGGAAACTGAAGGTGCATTTGTTTGGATTCAAGTAGAGACGATACTTTCTCAAACGCTAAAACAATTTCAACAAACCTTCTACATGCCCTTCTTCAGTATGTGATTTAGAAATCATGTCATCAACATATACCTCAATTTCTTTGTGCATCAGATCATGGAATATGGTTGTCATAGCCCTCTGAAATGTTGCAACAATGTTCTTCAACCCGAAGGGCATCACTATGTAATAGAATGTTCCCTAGGGTGTGATAAACGTTGTTTTTTCCATGTCCTCAGGATCCATTCTGATTTGATTATATCCGGAAAATCTGTCCATGAACGAGAATACTTTGAATTTTGATGTACTATCCACCAACATATCAATATGTGGCAATGGGAAATTATCTTTTGGAATGACTTTATTTAAATCTCTATAATCAATGCACATGCGAACTTTTTTGTCTTTCTTTGGTACTGGGACAATATTGGCAATCCATTGATGGTACACTGATGTCACAAGAAAACCGACATTAATTTGTTTTAAAACTTCTTCTTTAATTTTCACTACAATATCATGGTGAGTTCTTCACAATTTCTGCTTGACTGGCGGGCACTCTGGCTTCAATGAAAATTGATGCTCCACAATATCAGCATCTAGACCAGGCATGTCTTGGTAAGACCGAGCAAAGATGTTCACATACTCTTTCGACAATTCAGTCAACCTACTCTTCATGTCGGGGTGCAGTAATGCTGTAATCTTGACCTCCTTTGGCTCCTCCTCTGAACCCAAATTGATGGTCTCTAATAGCTCTTTATACGGTTGAGTGGAACTTTCCGCACGATCGAGTAACCGTGAAACCTCTTCTGGAATGTCATCATATTCTTCTTCTTCGGCCCCATACATAGGATATTCGAAGTTGGGAGAGGGTGTAGGGTCATTGTATTCAACGATTTTTTTAATAAATCTGCACATATGATTTATGAATGCTTTTAGAAACTGACACATACATCAAATGATTATGCATATTTATTTATAATTATTATTTATTCCAAAAGGTTTTTTTTCTTCTGATTACCATTTTCCAAGAAAAAGAAGAAAATAAAAACACAATTTGAGAATCAAAGACAACTTTTATTTATGATTTTAATGATCAAAGCAAACAGATAAGCTCATACAATATTAACTTTCACCTTGGGCATAGTGAAAGCTTTTTTAAAAGATAGACAAAAACAAATTACTTTGAGACATGGATGCAAGTGGGAACATCAATAGTGACCCATTTCTAGACTCTGACTCCAGGCGTCACATAATTCGACATTTCTTGCTCTTTTTCATCCTCCACAATAGCGTTGATTCCAGAAATAGTTGGATGGAGGTAACCTCCACTATGGAAAATATCCTGATAGCTGCTCATAGTAGACATTGACTTCAGGGTCTCAACTTTGCCATTCTTCACTAAGAATCGTAAACCAACCTTGTTCTTATTCACCGGCGGATCAACAATCCGCCCCCATACTTGTAGCGATAAAAAATGTAGCAGGGTAAATCAGAGATCGAGCTATTAATTAGCTCGTCTCGCAAAGGCAAGAGTCTCCACCATGCTTTATCATTTCTAAGGGGAAAAGGAAAAGAGCGAAATAAAACCATTAAATATGCAATGTAAAATAATACTTAAAAAAAGTAATGAAAATACAATGCGTTTTTTGAAAGAGATCGAGAGTTCGGGGATTGGTTATGCAATGGGAATGTATTAGCACCCAATGCATCTGCGGTACTCGGCAGGAACCTTTTAAAATATCTGTTTTTTTTAATTGTTTGTTTGATTAAAATGTTTTGTTCGGCTAAACACGGTTTGTTTGGATGATATTTTGAAGATACGACGACCTAGTGTCGAAGTTTTGACTTAAAGGGGTATGAGTTTGAAAATTGAATTTTTTAGGAAAATTGACTTTAAGTTTGGCAAAATAGTAAAACAAAATGAATGAAGGGATTCGCACAATCGTAATAAATATGTTTTGATGACATGTAGTCAACAAAGTTAAAACATTTCTCTTGGATTTGAGATGGGCAAACGATATAAGATTAAACAATCGAGAATAAAGTTAATTAGAGTGACAAAAAAAAATAATAACAAAAATTCAATAAGATATTTATTTATAAACATGTATTTAAATAAACAAAAATTAAATAAAAGATAAATTTAGAATAACATGTTTTTGATGTTTTGTAATGAAAGAATAATTATATAATAAACTAAACTAATATATAATCAAATTTAATGGAGTTGAAAGAAAAAAGAAAAAGAACAGGAAAAATTTCCCAGCAGGGGTTGAGCTCAAGCCTTTAAGATTACAAGTAATGTGATTTGCCATTTGTACTAAATTACTATTCGTTTATTATTATGAATCTATTAATACATAAAGGGAAAATTATAATGGATTGGGCCAGTAGCCCAATGAGATTACCCGGTTTGGGGAAGGGGAAAGTAAGGGTTTGAAAACCTTAGAACGAAGAAGCGCCGCATGTTGGCGGTATTGGAAAAGGAAAAAAAATGATTTAATTATTATTGTTGATTCCAAAAGAAAATAATTAAAAAGAGAAAAGAAAAAAAGTTGAAACACAGTCCACCCTCTCTCTTCAGTATAGCACCACCATCTTTCTCTTTCTTTCTCACACATAGTCACCTCTCAACCTCTTGCTCTCTGCTAATTTAGTATCGAAATTCACAATCGATGAAGTATAAGCTCTTGGGGCACCGCTAGATTGTATATATGAGACCAAAGCTCGAGCTTCATTCATGGAGGAAGTGAGATCGTCGTTAGGGTTGATAGACCATGAGAACCACTTGTCGTTTGATGTGATTCCTGCGTGTCGGAATTCTATGTCGAGTTTCCAGTTGTTCGGTCGAATATCTAGTGAAGGAATGAGGTGAGTTGAGGTAGATTGCGACACGTGGTGAATTTCTGGTTTCTCGGCATTTCATAGGTAAACTCGTGCGAAGATGAAGGAAATGAATATTGATTTTTCTGAGCAGTTTCAGAGGGTTCCGGTTTTAAAGCCTCTGGTTATGAAATGGAAGAATGTTCATATGTCCTAGCATCCAGACCAGTTATGTGGGCAATATTTCCATCTGAGGTAATAGTAATATGACCATCCCCATAATAGTCGTGATTGTTGGCATCTGAGAACCCAATAGTTGAAACATTATTAGCTCCAGAAGCCTCATCCAAGTTGCCTTGTAAGGGCCTAGATGTATGTGTTCCAGCATCAGAAATAGCGGCGACATTTTGTTTATATCCAAAACTACCAAAGCTCAAACTAAAGCATTCTGGAGTATGAAGTTGTAGATGATTTGGAATAAGTACATCAGAATTGTCTTCCTCTGGTTCTGTCCCTTGATCATTTCTGTGTATATTCAGCTGCTTTAAGTTTGCAGCCACTGATGAAGCGCCATTTTCAGCTTCATTATCATCAAAAGGATGCCGATGAGACTGATAATAATTTAGGTCCTCATACAAACTATCGTCAAATGTAGAAGCACTTTCTTGATTATCATCAGATATAATTTTAGTGGGAATAGAAGCAGATCCAACACTGTCATGATTCTCACTCTCAACAGGGCCATCTTCAGCAACAAAATGATCTCCATGGTTCTTCAATTGCCTACTAGCTTCAACAAAGTTAGATAAGTTTGCATAATACTCAACTTGGATGGACATCAACAACGGAGGACACGAGAACTGTAGATTGATGCTCAAAAGAAGGCCACTCATCTTTATGTTGAACATTGGAGTTATTAACATAGCTTTGATCATTATTTGGCTCCATAACATTCAAGTTGTGATGTGAAGTTGCTGGAATATGGTGTTCGGCAGAAACAGGGAGAGAGTTCCACGGACGGGTGTATCGGTGATGGAGGTTTTAAGAACTGTTGGTATGCTAGCAGTATAGATGAAGGATGATGGAAAAAACTGAAATTGCGCATTTTTATAGAGATGAAGATCTGTGCCCAAAATTTAGGGAGAGAGAGGGGAAGGGAAATAAAGCGGTTATAGTGCAGACCGGCGGAACAGATATCTAGGGTCTTTGGCTAGGTAAAATGGTTTTATCAGAAAAACAAAGTTGTGGAGTTTGTTAAGTTGATTGAGCCGTGGAAGTTGAGTGTGGCTGGAAGGTAGGCGGCACATGAAGGGGAAATTAGTTTACTGCGTTTTTAAGTTTTCGATCTGGTTTCCTCTTAACTGTTATTTTTTGCACTTTTAACAGGTTCCACCACTTCAGAAAACGATAATACCTTGTCAAGCTGCTGCCTAATAAACTTCTTAAAGGAATCAAGAGTTAATTCATCATGTTTAAGGTCTTCCTCCAAAAGCCTGCGAAGACCACCCATAGTAACTTTATCTGCATTATCCTTGAGGTATGAAGATATTTTTCTAATAGATTTCTTAATTAGAGCCTCATTAGGAACTACCTCTTTTCCATTTCCGTCTTATATCTTGGTTTCTTGCTTAACTTTCTTTTGTTCTTTAAGCATACCTAAAACCGGAGAATGTTCCATTTTCTCTGCATCTTCATGAACACCCTTTTCATCTTTAGATTGAAATCAGGTGTAGGATAAATGCTGGGCTGCAAGGGTTGTGGGTTTAACGGGTATGCGGGTTTGATGGGCATGTGGGTTTGGTGGGTATGGGCGTGAGAAAGGTGAAAGAGGATTAGACGGCTGATTTCTGCAGCTTGTGCCATTTGGTCACCATTAGTCAGCCGACCAGTTTCATAAGCATTTGAAGATGCTGGTAATAGTTATTGTTTTGGGATGTGAAATAGCGAAGGTTTGAAGCAGGTTGTAGTGGTGTTTCTCTTGGGCCTGCATTTGTGGTTGAGGGGAAATAAGTTGCGGTTCGGATCTTTGGTTATGGCCAGAAGTTGTTAGGTACGAGCTGGAAATGGTGAGACGTTGTTTTAATAGTAGTTTTGAAGTTTTTTTTTTAAATTTTTATGTTACTTACAGTTATTATGATTTCTAAACATGTTTAAATGTCCATATATTGCAGCAACTCAAAATACAGCAAAAAGTATGATGAAACAAGCATTCACAAGGTATTAAAAATGATGTAAAGAGAAGATCCAAACATGTGAATGAGAAAGTTATGCAGAAGTAAATAGGAAAAATAAATACGTATCGGAGTCTCTCTGATGGAGCTTCTAAAAAAATAGTAAGTTCTCTATTTGATGCTCAAACTCCTTTTACTTTAATCCTTGTTGTTAAAACTTGAACAAACTTCTTATCCTTTTCTTTTTTTTCTCTTGCTGAGTTTTTCTTATTGTTACTCTCCTTGAATTTTCTGTGTGTTTTTTCAGATTTATTCCCCCCTTTTCCTCTTCATACAAGGTCCTTTTATAGGCACATTGGAGTGAGATTTAGAGGCAAAACTGATAAGTTTTTGAATTGTTTTTGCCTACTATTTTGATACTTTTTCACACAATTTTATTTAGCCATTTTGATACAAATTTGTGGTTGTTATGATACAGGCTGGAGAAGACTGTATAGTGCAGTTTTAGACTGATTTACAGGCTGTTTTGAAATGACTTGCACTAGTTCTTTTGACAACAAAATACCACAAAAAATGGACTAGTTTGTGTTGAAACAAGGCTGGAGAAAATAAACAGCATTGGGACTGTTTTCTACTGCTGTTTTTGGATAGCAAAATGCCCAAGAATTGGACTGTTATTGTATTAAAACAGTGTTTGAAAATGGGCAGCATTGGGGCTGCTATTGGAGTAAGAAATAATAGCTTGATTTTCATGTACAAACTTTAATTTCTTTTGTAACTTTGTAATAATAATTCCAATAAATTGTAACATGAATGGGTACTTATTCTTCAATATAATTCTCAATTCCCTTGTAATTGTAAATATTTGGATCTTTATAAACTTTGAATCTTATATTCATCTTGATGAAATTCAAAATATTCCATTTGAATTGGGAAAGAATTGAATAATACTTGGATGAATTGTTGAATGATGAATAAATAATAATGCAAGCCTTAAGACTTCAATCTTGCATTTTGTAATAGAGATCCAAATAAATTTCATGAATTGATCTTGTAATAAAATAGCAACCATCATGTAATTAATCTTATGATGAATGATTATTTGAATCAAATTTATTTTCCAACATCTTCTTGAATAAATGCTTCATGTGAATTCAAATGGTCATGATGTAAACCCACCAAAATAATCACACAATATGATCTTGAATAAATATCTAATGCGATGACCGATTATTCTTGAATGAGATCTCTTGGTAGCTTCTATTAACACTTGAATTGAAATAAAGAAAATCCCAAGTATTCCGACTAAATTCTTCCAGAACATTCTTGAATTTAATCATCCCATTTTAACGAAATTCGCCCCGCGTCATGAGAAAACTTGCATATGACTTTTGGTTGAAGTGGTCGGAATTGACCTGCATACCTTGATTTTTCTTGTATTTTAAGGCAATGTGAAACACACATGAACCAATGGCAGTAGAACTTTGACTGTTCTTTCTGAAGAATTTTAGAGACATTAGAGGCCATCTGTTGGACAGAGCATGGAAATAAACACACGATTCTCTGAAAGTTCTTTTGATGAACCAGTCTTTGAGAATCAACAATCGACTCCATTTCTGTCCTGAGACTCGAAACCCTAATTGAGGCGTGACGTCTGATTCTCTTCTTTCAGACCTACTTCCTGCATATAAAATAAAACAAAACAAAACATACACTTCATTCCTCATTAGTGGTTACTCATTCATAAGATAAAATGCTCACAACACTCGATAATCTCTGCACAGTCAAAGCTCGAAGGTGAAACGTTCGAAACCGACCATATTTCTTGACAATGATGTATATATAAAACAATGAAAATGAAGATGGGATCTTAGGTCAAAAATTGGGGTATGCCAATACTTTACTAAGGCCATTGCGCACAACCTGCTGAGCATATTTGAATGAAGCCATAAAATTCTCATTCTCTCTCACGTTATCAACAGACAAAGCTTGGAATTGCATTCCAATAACAACTTCATCTGCTTCTACAACACTTAAAGATGATAAATGAGAAATCAGCAATGCTTGCTCTCCATTTATAATAACCACGTTGCCTTCACGCATGAACTTCAACTTTTGGTGTAGATTTGAAGTGACAACCCCTGCCTCATGTATTCATGGCCGTCCCAGTAAACAACTATATACAGGCACAATATCCATGACTTGGAAAGTGATCTGGAAAAGGTGTGGGCCTATGTGGATAGGCAGATCCACTTCTCCAATAAATGACTTCCTTGATCCATCGAAAGCTTTTACAATAATACCACTTGGGCGCATGGGAGCCCCTTGATATTTCAACTTCATCAACGTGCTCTTCAGTATAACATTTAAGGCGGACCCATTATCAATCATCACATTTGACAAAGAATCATTTTTACAGTTCATGGATATATGGAGGGATAGATTGTGATTCCTCCCTTTATTAGGCAATTCATCACCGCAAAAGCTTAGGTTATTACAAGATGTAATATTACCTACCACACTACTGAATTGATCTAACGTTATATCACACTCCATGAAGGCTCGGTCCAACACCCACATTAAAGATTCTCTATAGGAATCAGAATTCATCAGCAATGCTAGGATATATATCTTTGAAGGAGTCTGCAATAGTTGATCTACAATTCTGTAGTCACTCATTTTGATAATCTTCAAAATATCATCCACATATTTCTCCAGGATAGCACCGCTGGACTCCCCTACAACTTTCTTATTCTCAGCACTTTCCACAACTTTCTTACCAGCATTATCATTTCCCAAAAAAACCGGTGCAAATACACGACCACTGTGCGTCAGCCTACCAGTCTCAGCAATAATCTTGATGCTAGACAATGATTGGATAGGAACTTCCACACCATCCTCTAAAATAGTAGCATTGTACTTTTACGGTACATCTTTGTCTAATTTGTAAGGAACAAGCCCTGGTGTAATACGGTGGGAGAACTGACTTGGTTTGTTTGTGTTTGATCGCAATTATTGCAGATAAGAAGAGTCGCCACCGACTTTTCTTTTATCTAATAAGGAAAGGGTGAAAAGAACAGGAAATACCTTTAGATATGTTTTCTTGAGTTTGGGGGGTAGGTTATGAAAAGGGAAGGTGTTAGCACCCTTTTATTCTTAGTTATCTACGAGCTCTTAGTTGCATGCTAGATCACTTGCTTTGTTTAGAAATGTGCTTTGTGGTGTAAGTTTGAAAATAATTTGCAAAAATGCCTTTGTTGCGGCTAACTTTGTAATTATTCTTGTCTATATAAGAATGCGTACAAAGTATTGGTTTCGAAAAATAGTTCAAAGAGATGTTTGTTTTTGAAGATGTTTTTGAAAGTGTAGGTGTGGAAAATGGTTTTAGTTTACGAGCAAGCAACTACGAGCGTCCTACCTACTAAGAAGGTCTATGTTCTTTTCCTCCTCCTTTAGATGTTTCTATCTTACCATTGATTTGATAAGAAGCCCCATCGTTGAATGTGAAGGGACGAGCGTGGGTCAATTGTATAGTCATAGAAGGCAAGTTATGAGACGTTTTAACAATTTTTTGTAAGGGACTAGATCATTTATCAAAGGCAACATCGAGGGACATCGAGGGACTATGATATTTTATCAAAGGTCTTTTCTCAAACGCCCATATTCGAGGGACATGACTATTTTCCGAGGCAACAAGTGAGACTACCCTAAGGTGCATGTGTGTGAATAGTGTGTTTGGTTGCATGCATTTAGTCTTGAATTTGGGTTTTCTACTTGTTGATTTTAACTCTTGCCATACACAACCTAATTACTAGAATTTTATGAAAGCAATAAAAATAAGGAAAATAAATGTCCTACGCTATTACATGTTTTAGGGGATGAGGTATACAAGTTTACAAATTGGGGTTGAAAAGCAATAAAAGTCCTAATTATTACAACCATATTGAATAGCAATAAAATGTAAATAAAAATATAAAAAACAAGAATAGTGTAAAAGAGAGAAAGAAAAGACATCCTGGATCGAAGGATGTGTCTTTCAATTCCCACACTTTTTCCTTCTTTAGATTGGGCTTGCAACCTGTGTGTATCAAAACTTGCATTCTTCGATTCACACACCCTTTCCTTTCATTTGGGCCTGCAAATCAGTGTGTATAGAAACACACCCTTCGATTCACACACCTTTTTCTATTTTCTTTCGTTTGGGACAAGATAGCAGTATGGGTCGAAGCCATGCTAATATGGCCTGTACAGGTTAGTCTCTAACATATATTTGGACAAGAAAAGCAAACAAACAAAAGGGGTAGAAATGAAAAATAACCAAAAGGCTATATACATGCTTGAAACGAAAGGGTTAAAATCAGGAAAACTTAACTTGAATCTGAAGTTGGTGCTTCTGGACCTTGATTGATTGCCCTGGATGCTCTTGGATTCGAAGGTAATGAAACAAGTGTTGTGTTTCTTTGACTAGATTCGAAAGCCAAGAAAAGTAGAGTTGTGTTTCTTTGGTTCTGGATTCGAAGGAAAAAGAAACAAGTGTGATGTTTCTTTAGTTCTGTATTCGAAAGAACAGAAACAAAGGTGTGGTCTTTTGATTCTGGGTTTGAGAGTGTGTTAAAAGTTTTCTCCTTGCTAACAAATCTCTCTCTAGCCACTCAAATGCCACCCATAGATGTGTTGTGGAACCTCTTATTTATAGATGAAGTTTGGCTGAGGTTTAGGGGGAAAACAAATGAAATTTGAACAAATTGGGTTTGTTGTTTTTGTAGCTTTCGAGGTGCAGTTTTTATATGCCAATGTAGTGCAAATATGGGAGCAGCATAGCAGGACTGCTTTACAGCAGTTTTGGAGTGTTGTGGTCAGTACAACAGGCTTGGGCTTGGCAGCATATTGGACTTTGGTCAGCAAGCATCTTGAATAAAACTCATCAAAAGACAAAACAAAACTTGTTTCCAACAGTTGTGTCCTTCGAATGGACCACATTTGTGTTCTTCGAATGGACCACATGCACCACTTGTGTGTTCTTCAAACGCACCACTTGCAATTCTTCGAATGAGCCACCAATGTTTGTATTTCGAATGGGACACCCATGTATGCCCTTCAAATCCACCAATGCATGTCCTTCGAATGGGCCACCAATTGTGTCTCATAGTGTAGAAACTATGTGTATTGAAGTTTTTTTTAAAGGTGGGATCAAAGCAAGCTGTTTCAAAGGGAGCCACTACCCAGTGAACCGAAGCATGCATGAATGAAGCCACTGCTTTGTGGGTGATAGCATGAAGGGAATCCATTGCCATGTTGTTGCACCCTAAAATTTACCCTATTGATTCAGGCCTATGTTCCATCATAAACATCATACTGCATTGCATTCATACATGGTGATGGGATCAAAACATTTTGGTTATAAGATATTCCTCAAGGAGAGCATTATTATTTAAATCTCTGGATCTTTCTAGCCCAAAGGATTCACAAATCACATGATAGCTTTTCCACTTCATTGAATCATCAGAAGATTGAAGATTGTGTTAATTATAAGAAGAATCACATCCTTTTGATTCATCAGTAAAAATTAGGGTTTTGGTTTATTAGAACTATTGATGAAAGAGAAAGTCTTAATTTTGAAGTTACACCACCTCATTGACATTGGAGATATCTTTGTGCAAGAAGTCCAAGATATCCAGAGGATTTGAAGTTTTGAAGATGATTCATCATTCTTCTAAGGTGTTGACCAAAACTAGGGTTTGGGATTTCATAAG